AGATGGTTAGCTGTGCATGACCTGCTGAGTGTTGGAACAACATCCCTTCCATCCTTCACATAATCTTTATATAACTCTTAGTCTCCTTTCTTTGCCACTTTGCAGAAAGTTCTCTGGGCTTCCTTAGCGTGTGCCAGTTGTAGGGCAGTAATTTGTGGAGGGCTTGGTCAAGTACCCCCTGAGGGACAGGGTAAGACTCTCCTCCTGCCTGTGTTAGAAGCTCTGTGGTAGAACCTGACTGGTTCGTGGGCAAATCCTTTGTGAATAGTCTATCTCAAGTCCTTTGTGAATAGTTTAGTTCCAGCACAGCCAGAACTCACTGATAATCCCAGTGTCAGCATAAACGCACTGAAACCGGTTTCAGTATCTTCAGCAGCCACTTCTGCAAGTAGTGGCTTGATGTATTGGGTTGCAGTTTGTAGATTATAAGAGATGCTTTATTTTTGTGTCACGGTGATAATTAAGTTGCTTGTATGTACCTCTTCATTATATGATTTTGCAGATGATGTCTCTGCAGACATTTCTGCAGTGTTGAACAGGTCAGTTCACACTTTGGCTCCAAAGAGCAGCATGGACTTGTTATTCAATGAGTATCTGATCTTTCTGTTCTTGGGGGATTCAAACTGCCACCTAGTACTTCTAGCCTTAAAAATGTGTTCTCATTTTCATCTTTAAACCCCTACTAAATATTGCTTAACTGAAAAACATTTGTTTAGCATTTCATTAAAAAAATAAATCTGTAGGTTAACGTAATTCTTTACTGTGCTCACATGTATGTCTGTGTCAGTATATTAATACCAAATGCTATGAGTGATATTTGCATAAATGCTGGTGGAAGAAAATATAACATGCCTTCTCCTCTGGAATTGCTCTTCCTAGGGAATACAGTTTCTGATAGAAAACGACCTCCTGCAGAACACTGCAGAAGACATTGCACAGTTCCTTTATAAAGGAGAAGGATTAAATAAAACGGTAATTGGAGATTACCTCGGTGAAAGGTAAACTACAAATATTGAAACTTTGTTCTTGAGTTTACAAAGTATATTTACAGGTTTTGGGTGGTTACCGTTCCCCTTCTCAGACTACTCTGAGATCTATAAAAGCTACAGTGGGATGTAAAACTACTATAGTATGGTGGTAGGGTTGTTTTTCCTGTTAGGGGGTTGTTTTTAAATGGGTACACTGTGGAATTATGTTTAATTGATTGTAATTTACTATTTTAAGAAAACATTTAAATTTGACTGTAGTGCAGAATTAAAACCATAATCTCTTGGAATGTCTGAGAGTTGTATTGCAACAGTCCTGGTAGCTCTTGGTACTGTGTCCGGAGAAGGAGTGATTTACAATCAGTAATAATTGGACAGTGAAGAAATTACTTATTAAAATGGGTAGTTCCTGGGACAGTAGTTACAGGCAGGTTTTAGTGCTGTCATGCTCCCTGCACACAGCTCCCCAGTTGTAAGGAGGAACAGCAGCTGCACTGTCTTTACCAGTCCCAGCACAATGAACATGCTACATGCATATTTCTGCATACTATTGCAAAACACAATCAGAATGCAAATTACTTCCATTGCTGTGCAGCCCAGGAATTGATTTTGAAAAAGGCAGCTGAGAGAGGCAGGAGTGGGTTGAGTTTGTGTGTACACGCTGGCACACGTTCCAGTTCAGGTGCCAGTTTGGGAGGTTTAGCAGTTGACTCATTTGGGATATACTGTGGTGATGTGTTGTGGCAGATCCCTTTTTGAGACACCCTCAGCCTGCTTACAGCAGCAACGGCTTAGCTTGTGCTCAGCAATTTCCTCTTGACTTTAATAGCTTTAATGAAAGTTTTTACTGTAATATGTCTGTTTGGAAAATAGATCTTCACTCTGAAGTCTCCATGTAGAACATATAGACATGTCAACAGTTTTTATACAACAGAATGATGTTCCTTCTCTTGAATATTTGGCCAATCAGTATTCTAAAATCACTTAATGTCCATAATTGCAAAACTGTAGCAATGCCTGTGTAAAGCAGTGTGTGTTCACTTCTGGGAGCTGCACATTATCTTGGTATTGCCTTCTGAAATACTTCCAGCTTCTCTAAGCCTATTCCCAGAACTCTACTCATGCAGAAAGATCTTGCCGATATCAATATCATCAATAATATTCCTGTGATTTTGTAATGGGTTCACATTTAAAATCATTTCTTGCTCTGTTGCTTCTCTGTGAGGGATGCTGGGCAGCACCGTGGCCTAATCTGAAAATACAGGGCAACCATTCTTCTTACTGAGTATGTCTATAGGTAAATATGCAATTCAGTTGTATCTTCTGAGTTTTTCACGACTTAGATACTGACAAATGTAGTGGTCATACTGAATAGCAAATTGAATTAGGATATTTTGTATAATTCTATCAACTGGACAATAAAATCTTGGGAGAAGTGAAAAAAAAATTGACATACTGCTCCTATTTTGCCACAAGGCAGAAGCAGTTTGTCCATTTTAAGGAGCAGTTGAAGTAAAATAGAAATTTAAGATTATGTTTTGCTTTGAAAGGAGCTTTTATTCAATGTATCCAGTCAGTCTACATAAATTGCTTTTCAGCCTCTTTGTTCATTTCTGAGCAGGGTGCAATATCAACATGGTAATGGGAAAGCAAATGGTATCTCTGTCTATTTTTTTCTTCACATATATGAATTAATAAGGGGGGTGGAAGTGATGGCAGTCTGATTATCAGGAATGTGTATGGAAATTTCAAGGTAGTTGGGTCTGTATTGGGGAATTGGTTCCTCATACTCCATTGAACTGCAACAGTAATTTCCCAGAATCCTAATAATATTTATTCATATTTTTCTGAAAAGAATGTATTAGGCCTTTAGGTCCTGGGGTAAAATAAATACCCTGGGATTAAATAAAATGTGACAGTTGAGGTGTCTTAAGCTGCTGGTTCTGCTTTTGAGACTACCCTAGAAACAGGGTGTCAAATGGATTGTGCTATGGAAATGGCAGAGCATATTGCAGATGAGTTTTTGCTGAGTTATATCCTAACTTTTATCAAGGCATTTGCCACTCCCTGTCAGGGGCACATCATCAGTTACTTCTGCATTGTAGGTAAATGTAGCTGAACACAAGACCAGGATAGTCAACAGAATGAAATATTTGTATTACATTGTTTTAAATTCCTGACTTTTATACAGCAATCTGAAAAAAGTTCAGTTCTACTGTAAAAACAGAATGAGAGAACACCTAAAAGGTTACAATAAATAGGGGATGAATGACATCCTAGAAAAGATTAAGATTTCTTTCTGTGTGGGGAATTCTTCACTTACTGTTTTAAGTGGCTTCTTAGACTTTTCATGTCTTTGGGGTTGTAACCAGCACAGGTATCACATGCATGTAAACAAAATATTTTGCTTAGAGTAAACCCATAGCCCTAATGGGTGCTCTCTTTTATTACACTGTGGTGCCACTTCACTGAAAAGCAGTTGCTCAGCTGAATTGTGCATTGCTAAATTTGATGAGAAGTGCTTTGATTTGCTGGACAGAGCTGGTGTGTTCTCTGTAAACAATGTGGGAACATCCTAATGACTGAATAGTTCGGTTTGAGGCATTTACTCCTGGGTGTTACAGGTTAGTCTGACTATGTAGTTAGTCAGTAATGCAACAGATAATTCCTGGTGGGTGCACACACCTTTCTGTCCTGGGGTGGAGGCTGATGTGCAACATTCTGCCTTGGTGATGTATTTGAAGCACACCCTGAGGATTAGAAACCCTTATGCTCCTGGCACATGAACTCAGTGGTTGGTGTAGGCTCAGTTCTGTCTCATCCAGATAGTTTTGCATTCATTGATGTTTAGATGTTACTTTTGCATTTCAAGCACCTTTGCATCAAACAAAGCATGATTTGGCTCATGGTTTACATAGCAGTATAAACGATGGGGGAGAGGAAACCCGTTCAAAGCCTCTTCTGATTTTAGCAAAGTTCCATTCTAACAGTTTTTGAGAATGGAGTAAGAACACACTACATACTAAGCAGCTCTTTTCAAAAGCTGTTCTTTTTCCTGGGTACAATCAGTTGAGGCATTTTTGTTTCTCATCTTTGTGCACAAATTAAGATACTCTTTAATATTTCCTGCTCTTAGAGGAAAAAAGGATGGTTTGGTTTTGATGTGTTGTATGGCTGAAGAAATTAATCTTACATTAACCATTGTTTTAAGGGCTCATGACAATTTCTGCAAAAGACTTTTTACTGAATAAATTGTTCAGATCTCATCCTATATCAAGGCAGGTGCAATAATGTGAAGCAAAGAAGGCAAAGCCATTTTTAGGTCATTGAAATAAGCAGTGCTGAGATCACTTCAAGTGTACTGGTTCTTGCTAACCTACCAGCAAAAATGGGCAAAATACTGGTATTAAATATTAAAATGCCTCTCAAATAAACATGTAGGCTATTTCTGATGATTGATTTGGTCAGTATGATTGTTTATTTCCTTGCTTATTCTTGGAAGCAAATAGAGATAGCTAACAAGTCTTTAAAGTTCAGAATTGTAATTGTCTATCACCATTTTTGTCTTTCGTAGAGATGAATTTAATATTAAAGTTCTTCAGGCTTTTGTTGAACTCCATGAGTTCGCTGATCTCAATCTTGTACAAGCCTTAAGGTGAGTAAATTCTCTCTGGCTTTTGACCTGAGCTTCCTTTATCAAATTGCATGTTCCTATGAGTCACTGTGTCGATATATTCATCAGAAAGCTGATGTACAGCTCAGCACAACTGTACACATTGCTGTGCAAATGAGCAGAGACAGCTCTGTGTAACCCTGGCTTGTGTGTGTGCTGCCTTTGAGGGTGAAAGGCTCTGATTATTTAGGACAAATATGGACAGCTAAAATGTAACCATAACTCTTGGTGTGCCTGCCACGTGTGGGAATTTGAGGGTCTGTTTTATATCTTAGCACAGAGATAGGTTAAAAAAAGAAAGAAACTCTTTGCTCAAGTAAATAATTTTATTTTTCCTTTCCTTCCACCTCAACTTGTCCCTCTGGGCAGGGAGGGGGAGAAATCCACTGACCATAATCAGTGATTATGTTCAGTTGCAAAGAGGTAAACAAGTGATTTCCTTCTGCTTCCCTCAGAGTTCCCTACTTGTCATGTGAAAGAAAGTGTGATATCTTAGTATTTTTCCCCCCTTGATAAGTGAACAGTTCACTTGATTTCTCTGGGATGCTTGCATACAGTGACCTTGGGAAGTCCCTTCTCATCCTGGGGAAAATCCGTAACAGATTGAGCAAATGAAGTTGACTTAGACAGTTGTGCCTGTTCCGTTGCCGCAAGTGACTCCTCCTGACACCAGATAAATGGGAACGTCCATGTGATCCTGGTTTCTGGTGCAGTGTCTTGTGATGTGGAGTCAGAACAGCTTTGCTATGGTTGAGTGATGTGGTGATGATAACTTGAGCTGCCTGAGGCTTGAGCCAAGGAAGCCTTTTCTGTGGCTGCTGAAGCTTGTCTGGGCTTCGTATTCCTATCTCTCTACCCGATGTAACGTTAGGTTTGACTTCATTCTTCCTTAGCAGCTGCTACTATTAAATGTTTGTATTTTGGTAGCTTACAAAATTCGTGATCTGGGTTGGAACCTTGCAGGAGGTGAGTAAAGACAGTATATAGAGCTGACAAACTAAAGATGGCCTGTGACTCTTTACTAGAATGCCCTAAAATGAAAGCTGGTGGAGACAGGAATAAATAGTTATTATATTGGCATCCAGTGTACAGGGAACAGTGAGAACTTGTTTTGCATGGCAGAGCATGAAACTTTGCTGGTTTAGATCCTGGTTTATGTCAGATAATTCTTTTGCTAAGAGATAAAAAAATAAATTATAAAATTCATTCTAACTTTTTAGCACCACAAGTAAATGGCCAAAAGTAAATCTGTGTGCCAAAAGTAAATCTGTGAAGACTTCTGTCCTGTATGCATTCCACTGTACCTACATGTAGAAATAGTAAGTTACAAAAGTAAACTCTGTGTTCCAATTTCACATCTGCTGCATCTATCACAAAATTACTGAGATGATAACACGAGTTGTTGTTTTTAAGCCCTAGGTCTGATCCTTGTAGGGTGAACTTAGAGCAGACAGGCAGCACCTCTCTGAGCACTGGGGTTTTCTTGTCATTGGTACTATTTCAGAAGTGTTTTTGATGAGTTTAAGTAAAGATTTTCAGTCCTTTTGTATTCCTGTTTCTCACCCCTACCAGAAATATTTTGTGTAACGTGTCTTTTCTTTGCATTGTAAGTAAAGTCTAGCTGACTCTTTATTGCGTTTTTGTAGCCAGGAAACCCAGGGAGGATTGAACTAATTTTTTTTCCCCCATAGCATTCTCATGGCAAAAATGGGATGCATACAGAAAATTGTTTACTAGTCTGGAAAAAAGAGAGAGGCTCAGAAAATGAACTGCCGTATTATCTTGCCTGATAGCATGCAGTGTTGCTGGCTGAATTACTGGGCTAGCCATCTGTGCATGTTGCTTTATAATAGCTCCTGACTTGTGTGTTGAGAGATTGAGAACATATTTCTAGGACATTCTGTATAGCCATTGCTGAATTTTTTTGTTTGTTTGTTTCGGATTATTTGTAATATATGCTTAATATATAAATATTGGAATGAGTCTCACAACTCTTCTTCCCTTTTGTAGGCAGTTTCTGTGGAGCTTCAGACTCCCAGGAGAGGCTCAAAAAATCGACCGTATGATGGAAGCTTTTGCTTCACGCTACTGCCTTTGTAACCCAGGAGTCTTCCAGTCTACAGGTTAGTTATGGGAGATGATGGGAGTTCTTCAATGCATATATGACCAAAATATGTACATGTTCTTCTACATCTGATGCAAGGAGACACTGTCCAGTTTGGAAGTTCAGGATCAAATAATACGTGAAATGAGAAGTTTCTGAAAACTGGGAAAATGTGACTGTCTAATCCAGGAGGTAAATTAAAATTCTCAGGGATTTAAGGACAGAAGAGACCAATAGGTTGGGTGGTCTTACCTGTCAGTTGTAAGGACTTTATACCTCATTATCTCTATATCAAGTCCACCTATATGTGACTATAGTATATTATCTTGAAAGTCTTCCGTTTTCGTTCCCAGGGCTGTGTCCTTTCTCTTAGCAGTCCTCAGCAATAACTTACCTCAGTTAGAAATGCACCTCAGTTTGTTGTTTAATTGCTTAGTTTAGGATTACTCAAGTCATAAAGGCTACCAGAACTGGAACTCTGGCTTCATTGGTCTGTTTGATTATATACACACATTGTTTGCTGTCCATCACTTCATTTGAGGAACAGATAGGCTAGGGAAAGGTTACTGTAAAGCAGGTCTGCAACAGCTAGAGAGGAAAATAGTTCCTGGAAACAAAATGCTGAAGATGCAAACAACATTTCCTCTCTCTATAGCACAGAGGTTTCCATCCTGCTCTTTCTTACACAGAATCTTGTACTTGAATTCTGGAAGAATTTACTATAATCGTAACCATGCCAAGAGGCATGATAAAATTTCCTTTGTCATCTTCTGATGTTATCCAGTAGTACTAGCTGCCTCCTGTATGCCAAGAAACTGAGTCAATGTCTTTTTCAGTCTTCTTAAATGCAATTTAAAGTATTGTTTCAAACAGACCATTCTCTTTGGAGAAAGCTTTGGAAGTACTTTGAGTAGGAGGAGGCTGATTTATCACATTTATTATAGGATCTACAATATGAGCTAGGCAAAATCTGTGTGCAGAGAACATTTTGCCCAGCAACACTTCAGTGCTTCAAGTGAAATGTTAATTTAGGACAATAGCAATGATTTCATAGAGTTAAAATATTTTTTTTTGAGTTCTCATCCTGTTTTTCCTTAAACTGCCTTAGCATTTGAATTGTAACACATTTTTTCTTCTTAGGCTGACTTCAGCAGTTTAAAGCTAAAGATTCTATGTATAGTGTTCAAGATTTTTTTTACTACCTGTTGCTTTTCCTTTATCAGTCAGGATGGGCTTTATCTTACTTTCACAGGTTTGTACCACAACACACAGAAAGATAAACCATTTTCCAAATCTGATTTCAGATACTTGCTATGTGCTCTCATTTGCCATCATTATGTTAAACACCAGCCTGCACAACCACAACGTGCGAGATAAACCCACAGTGGAGAGGTTTATCTCCATGAATCGTGGAATTAATGAGGGTGGAGACCTTCCAGAGGAATTACTGCGGGTAAGTTGGGCTGGGTAAGGCTAGGCATGGCTTTGGGTTTCTGATAGCACACTTAGAAGCAAGTACAACATTTCTCAGGCAGATCTGTTAAGGGAAAGCAAGAAGAACATTTTCTGGCATACATGACTGTTTGAGTAGTTGAAAGAAGCATTTTCTCATCTTCACAGCTGCTTTGAGCTAGTTCTTCCTATATTGAACTTTTGGTTGAGGATGAAAACACTCTGTAGTTTGCTGATGGCAAAATTCTGGTGGAATTGGCTTCTTACGAAAAAAAGTATTTCTGGATAAATCAGAGAAAAATGGAAAAAATAGTAACAGTTATTGTTTTGGTTTTGCCTCTCATTGCTTTCCATGTGTCTTGTGGAGCTTCCTCCTGTCCCTTCCTGCTGTAAGACAGTGTGATGGTCTACACCATTTGCCCAAACCCCAGATTTGTTTGGCAAAACTTGTACTAAATGAGAACTGATGCTGAAACCTTTGAAATGCTGAAGTTAGGTGAAAAATGTCTTTGCTTATGAAATCTCTGCTAAAAAGAGAAACTTGTTTCTAGATGAAGTAATTTAAAATCAAATTTAATCAAAGTAATAACCAAAGATTGAGAAGGGCTGGTCCAGGATTGGATGGAGAGTATCCCCTGTGCTTTTTATACAAACAGTCTGGGTTGCAGTAAGATATCCTGGTTGCATTTTCTGTTAGACATTTATTAATGAGGTCTTTTTTCTCTTCTTTCTTTTTTTTCTTCCATTCTTCTAGAATTTATATGAAAGTATTAAGAATGAGCCGTTTAAAATTCCAGAGGACGATGGAAATGATCTCACACATACGTTTTTTAATCCAGACAGAGAAGGTTGGCTGCTGAAATTAGGTTAGTTCCAAGGGCAGTTCTGCTGCTCTATTTGTTCGCTGTTAGCATGTTTGCTGCTTCCGTATCTCTCTGCTTTCTTGTGGAGGTAATAGGATTAACTTTGCATTTAAATATGTGTGAACCAAAATAAGCAGCTCCTTTAAGTCTGAAGGCAGTTCCTTCTTATTTTGGGGATCCAAATTAGCAATCTTGTTACAAACTTTTGGAGTTTTATTTCTGAGATACCAGAAATAAAAACTCGGCGACAAAAAAGGAAACACCATATGGTATTTAGCACATGCTGTGACTGATAAATAACAACTAAGTCTCCATAAGGTCATTTCAGAAAACTGTGTCATGTTTCAACTCAGTTTTCTGTGTACGAGAAAAGGATTTCTCTTCAAATAGTTATTTTTGTATGTCTTTATTTTTCCATATTATTTGTGAGTTTCTCTTGGTTTGGTTTTGGCTATGATTTTTTAATGAGTGGTTTAAATGTGCCTTCTTGTTTTCCTTATGGCCTATGACCTATCACCTTTCTGTTCTGTGACTGGCTGTCTCTGCTTATTCTGCATTAGGAGGTACGTATCTGATTGCTTTCCAGTCCCCTCCTCTTCAGTTGCTCATTCTTTTATTTTTTCCTCCTTCCTCCTGTTTTGTTTTGGTTTTTTTTTTTCAATCAGATTTGTTGTAGCATTTTGCTTTTTCACTCAGTGTCACTAACTATCATCAGTGGTGCTCTGGGACTGGTGTGTCAGTGTCTAGCTCACAAGTGAGTGTGTTCTCAGGAGAAGAAAGTGTTTACATGTACAGCAGAAAATTGAGGAGTACTTCAGCATACTTTTCTCATTCGTGGAAGAACATAACAAGGAAATAATTTCTACTGAGGAAACAACATGTCTGACTCTGGTCATGAAGTTTCGGAGTGTTTTTGTTACTTGTTTATCAATTAGATTATTGAAGGATTATTACATTTGAACTATGTATTTATAAAAACTGTTCTTTTTCCTGTTTATTTCCCTTTGTAAATAACACATTTAGCTTACTTAACAGAGTCTTAAATAAGCCTCAAATTTAGGCTTGCAGAAACCTCTGCTAATTCAGTTTCCTGGCACTGCAAGATGCCCTTGTTTACAGACTCTTAAAGCTAATGGGATTCACTTTCTCACTTGGCCTTAGGGAATTTTTTGCCTATATAAAGGAGACTGACAGATGATTTTAACAGTTGTTTTTCAAAGCAATAAACTTCTTTTCTATGAACACCAGTGCACACTCCAACAGAGCCAGTTGTTGGACACTTTAATGTGTTCAAGTGCTTGTTAAAGTGGAAGTAACTTTTCACGTGTAGAATGGTGACTACAGGGTGAAAAGGGATGGCACATGGCTGGGAGGGTGATGAAAGTGGAGCCTGGATAGAGCCTTGGGCCTGCTCTGCTGATCACACCTGGAAATCAGTAGTCATGCTGATGCTGGAAGGAAATGGATGTGAAAAGGAAGCATTTGGAATTCATTCACATGCTCTCAGTGTCGTGTTTTGACCTCTGTGCTACAGATGCTGTGGAGCTCTTTGTCTTTCTAACTACAGAAAAGCAAGGCTCCTGCTTTTTGACTTGCATTGGCTCAGCTGGCACAATTTCAAACATGACTTTGCAGCTTTTCTCCATTTTGTAGCACAGGATGATAGTTAACAGAAAAGCCTTTCAAGTTAATGTAGATTAAATGCCCTTCCTGGAGAAGGGGTTGGGTGTCAGCCCATGCTGTGCCTGGTTCTGTTGCCAGTGTGCTCTTACACTCCTTGTGAGAGTGTGAGTGTGCAGAGGTGTGACAACATTCCTTTCTGAAGAAACTGTCAATAAAAGACAAAAGGGACTTATTAAAAAAATAGAGGAACCAAGACATTGAGGAAACAAGATGACTGAATTAAGTGAGAGCTGCCAGGTACTTTTGCACAATCTGTCCCTGGCTCTGGTGCAAGGTCAATAAAACTGCCTTTTCAGTCTGTATGATGTAGAGGGGAGAGAGTACACAGAGCACTCAATAGTAAAAGGATAAACCCACTGGTAGTGAAACAGGAGGGTGTTACACGTAGCACTCCCACAGCGTGAGGGTGATTTGAATAAAGAAATGAAATCTGTCCAGAAGCTCTGGTGAGTCAGCCTGTAAGTGCCTGGAGCTGTGCTTCCCTGAAAAACTGCATTTTTTTCAGCAGACACAGACTGGTACAGACACATACACTGCTGGTTTGGATGCAATGACCAGAAATAAACCTGACAGGTTTTTTTATTCTTCTCTCTCTTTCTTTCCTTTCTCCTGAGTTTCCTGTTTGTTAGGAGTTTTACACTGTATGTTGAGAGTGCTGTCTCAATCCACATTGCTTGCATTTTTACAGTCCTTTCTGTTGGGAAACACTTCTTGTGAAATGAGTAGGGTTTCCTTCAGTTCTGGAAGATGCTGATATTAAAAGTTCCAGTATTGTTGAAATGCCTAAGGAGACACTACTCTAGTCAGCTCTTCCCATTTGTCTAGTTGTGCCTTTTTTCCAAGTGCCAAACCTGGCAGCCAGACAGCAATTCTGGTTTTATCTATCTACACTTAGCTGGTACCTTTATATAGACATCTTTATCATGGTAAACCTAAGTTATCATTCAGTTCTGCATTGTTTGAAGCGTGGTGGAATGAAAATGAAGGCTGCAAGTCAAGAATTGGAAGCTGCTGAGTGCTAGTGAGTCCTTGCTTAGAGCAGCTTGAGACATTATGAGCGTTCAGATTCTTCTGCATTGTAATTATTAGTGGTGTTGGCACCATGGAACTTGCTGCCTTTCACTCTAAGGTGTTCTGAAATTGTTGTCTGTGCTCTCTGTGCTTATGCCCAAGTTGTAATTTCTTTGCAGAGGGAGGTGTTTCCTTGCCTTAAACAGCTTCTCCTGGCAAATTGCTTGGTTTATGTAATATGTTCTTCTAGTTAGAGGGAAACTGTGACATTATTCCCCCAAACTGCAGAGGAAATGATTCCAGCCAGACACATGAGCGTGTTAATTTTTTCTGCCAGTCAGGCGGTTACAGAGTGCTTGGAGATGGTCCAAAAGCTTCACATCCGGGCCTGGCCTGCCAGTGGTGCTTATTCCAGCACATCTGTCCTTGAGAGGATGTTGTTTCTCTTCCCTAATCTGGGCTGAGAGCACTGGTGGCTGATGAGGAAGCTGGAGCCTTCCGGTACCTGCCTGGCCCTCGTGCTGGCTGCTGCTGCACTAGCAGTGGCAGTGACTGTTGTGCTCAAGGGAGACTTCTTTTTAAAAACCCCCAAACTTTAACCCAATCATCTGCATAACTGTGCAGTTGCTGAGTCTGTTCTGCCTGGTGATATTGGAATGAACTGGGCAGAAAAAAACCCATTTGTGAGGTGTGTGTGTCTCCTTCTGCTCTAAAGTTTAAATAATCGAGTTAAAGATTTAGGTATTTCTAACTTTAGGTATGTTGCTGCCTTTAACCTTAAGGCCTTTTTTACTTCAGAGATTTGTGTTTCCTACATCATTGCCAGTTGTTTTTCCCTTTGCAGTAGGTGGTTTCTTTTACCTTGTTCTCTAGTTTGTACTTTGCCCAGACTTACAAAAAAAAGTCCTACGTGTGAGTTACAAAGGTGAAGAGGATTTTTGTTCCTCTTCCTGTGCATTATGCCTCACCCTGGCCTTTTTTAGTGCTTTCCTTAGATTTCCACCTACAAGATACTTTGCCTCTACATTTTGGTACTGGAGATGTCTGTGCATTTTCATTAATCAGCTTGATCTTTGAGAACTGTGTCACTTATCTCTCCATTTCTGTAAATGTTTATGGATTCAACCTCTGTTTTTTTTTTTGATCCTCTTCTGCTAACTTAATTCCTTCCAGTTTTAATCTTTAAAAGGCTGGCAGCTGGAATAAGAGCTGAAGTATGGCACTAAACCCTTTGTTGTTGTTTTGTGAGCCTACAGCAATCTCAGCCAAGGGAAAAGGAATGTGTTGTTATCATGAGTTCTTTGCCATTAATCTGGTGTGCAGTGTTCACAGGCCACAGCACCTTATCAACCAGCTGCTTGGGGTTTAGCCCTTTGTGAAGGCATATTAAATGCATGTTATATGGTGACCCCTGCAAATTTGATCAGTACAGATTAGATTTTTGAGCTTTATTAGACTTTCTGTGCTGTTGACAGCTGCAACTAAGTAATGGGGTGGGGAGACAGAGACTTAAATGTGAGAGTAGCTCCTTCTCCTGCCAAAAAATCCTGCCTTACTGCTTTTTTCTTCTCTGGAAGAGTCACTCAGAGCTTGGTGGAGCAGGGACTGAGGGTCTGTTTCCATGACTCAAATGAGTCTGTAACCCAGTGAGCCACTGGCAGTTTTAGGAAGAAGGGAGTAGTAAGAGGGATCTTGTTGGAAATACTTAATCCTCTTTCTGACTTCAACATCAATACTAACCTGGAGCTGGGAAATGCTTCATGACAGAAGTTTCATCACAACTGCAGCATGATTACAAAAGGTTTCAGGTTTGAGACATCTGCTTTTTCCAGAGTGAGGGGATGTTCTCAGGAGGAATTGCAGCAAACTCAACTGCTGTTCACTGCTTGGCAGATGATATTGTTCTGGGATGTGTTTTAGGTCCATTGTTTCTGCCTTAAATTATAAGCAACTCTTCTTTTAAATATATGGTTGTTACCTGATTCTTTTTATTGTGTTTGGACATGATACTGCAGTTCATGAGAAACACCTTTGTTCAGCTGAAGCTGCTCTGTGATTGTAACCTGTTTCCCTGTTTGTTTCATTCTCTTTCCTCCTGAACTGTTTTTCTGCTAGCACCAGGCCAGCCATGACCTCTGATAGCTGGTGCTACCTCTTAGCCTGACAAACACACGGTGACGTTTTAGAGCCATAAAAAATTTCAGCGATGTTCACCTGCTAACCTTGGGGCTCAGAACGTGACTTACAGCCATGGCAGTTAACACTGGGTTCTATAAAGCATGCCATGTTATGGTGAGGGCAAGGAGTGCCCTGCCAGTAGCCTGGACTTGGCAGCTGCTGAGTCACTGATCTGGAAGTGAGTCAGGCTCAGCTTTCCATTCCAAGCCCAAATACTTCCTGATACTTGAACCAGCTCTCGGTCAAGGTGATGGGAATTTTTCTAGTGACTTATGTGCCAGTTTGAATGTCTCTGCAATGCTCTGTTTGAGGATCTGTCACAGTGGTTGTACTAAAATGCCACCAGTTCTTCCCTCACTGTCTGCAGTTCACTCAGCCATTCATTGTGTCACAGCTTCTGCATCCTGCACTATTTTGCCTTCTCTTATTTCACCACACCTGCTTGCAGATTAAATTTTTCTTAAGATATATGTGCATCTAGTGGAAACATGAAGTTTATTGGGTCTCTTGAATGTTGCAGTGTGTTAGCACTGAGTGATCCTGTAGGTTGTGAAACCAATCAAAAGGAAGATACAACCTGCAGCTTACCTGGTCTGCAATGCAAATAAGCAGGAATTGGTATCAAGGAATGTCATGATATTCCTAGAATGGCTCTTTTAATTTAATGTGATTTGGATTTATGTATTAAACAAACAAAAATCTAGTAGAACAAAAAGCTGAAAAAATTAGGCTCATGTCTTAAATTTGGTTTCTGGCTTGGGTTAAACTGGGTGTTGTGTGTGCATTGCTGGTGCTTTTCATGCACAGGTGTTAATAGCCAGATCAGCTATTTTGAAATGTTGGGTTAATGGGATTGACTCAGTGCTGAATGGATGATGCACAGGTGGTGACATAATCCTGAAGTCAGATAACTATGGTGGAACTAAACCTTTATACTAGTGACATGTGAATGCTCTATCTGCGTCTGTCGTCCCTGGAAATGTTCTGAAATAGTGTCACTGTGAGGTACTAGGCATGTTCTGAAACAGTCAGTGGCAGAAAAGTGGCTGAAAGGGCCAAAACTTCTAAAAATGAGCTGTTCCCTACAGTGTGACACGAGAAGTGTAAGGAAGAGGAACTCTGTGGCTGCTGCTGCTAAGCTGTTAATGCAGGAAAAATTGGCATTTTTGGAGCAGTAGCTATTTCTTACTGGGTGTACTCTGATTTATTAACCCATAGAGAGAACAGGTTTTAAAAATACTAAAAGATGACAGGTGACTAAAAATGGTATATTTTGGCATAAGATTTGCTCCTTGTTGATGACATATTTGTTCTGCTAGTAATGTTTATAAGCACCTTATACACTTGATGTTAAATCTGAAAGTAGACACAGGTTCTGACTCCCGTGTTTGCTTATGAACAGAGGGAAAGGAAGATAATAAAATGCCCTTAGTCTTATTGATGTGACCTGTCCTTGTCCAGGACAGGCTGTGGAGAGGGTTGGTCCTGTTGCAGGGTGCTGGTTTTACAGCCAGTTACACCACCAGTGCTGGTGTGGGGTGTTCCATCAGACCCAGGGCTGGGTTTTCCTCCCTTGGCCCTGGCAGCTCTGGCTCTGTTGAGAACTGTGTAGTGTTAATATTTTTGGTGCAGCAAACATCTGTGAAGGCATGGACAGAGAGAGCAGCTCTGAGGGCTGCACTTCTGCCTCCCTTCTCTGGAAGAGGCTGTTGCAGCCCTAGGGCACAGAGCTGTGTGGCTGCTCAGCACCACCAGAGTTCATGCTGCCCCAGGACAACAGTTAGGGCAACATGTTCCTTTAACCTCACTCATCTGTGCCTGATCCATTTACCACGAAGTAATTAAACCATGTTGTGAGAAATGAGCAAAACTGAAGTATTTCCTTGCTCCTTGTTGAAGCCTTGGCAGCAGCAGATGTTTAATTCCAGCATACCTTTTGGTTGTAGGGGGAAGAGTAAAAACGTGGAAACGGAGGTGGTTTATTCTGACTGATAATTGCCTGTATTACTTTGAATACACAACAGTGAGTATACATCATGGTGAATTCTGTTTGGAATCCAGATAGTTAAGTGGCTAACAATGTGGTGTTTTCCTCATGTTTTAGGACAAAGAACCCAGAGGAATTATTCCATTAGAGAATCTTAGCATAAGAGAAGTTGAAGACCCTAGAAAACCAGTAAGATAATTTTATATTTATTCTTTTAATGAAGATAAGTAAACCTGCTAGAACTTAAATGTGTCGTTAAGTGAAGATACCGGTCAGTTTGGGTTATTTTTATTTAAATTTATGTCTTTATTCCTACCTTTCAGAACTGCTTTGAGCTCTACAACCCCAGCCATAAAGGTCAGGTAATTAAAGCATGTAAAACTGAAGCTGATGGTCGAGTGGTGGAAGGCAACCACGTAGTGTATAGAATATCTGCTCCCACCCCAGAAGAGAAGGAAGAGTGGATTAAATCTATCAAGTGAGTTTAAAGCCTTAAATGTCTTTCAGAAATGAAGTGTAAGCTCTTTTCAGAGTTAGATACTAAGAGAATTTGTTCTAACTTGTGTGAAGAACTCTGAGCTGGTGATGTCCTCCAGGGTTAATCATGGGGTTGATGGATCAAGATACAAATCTGTTCCTGTCTGGTCCAAAGGAAATAGTGCTGTTAACTCAAATGAGGAAAATATGGATTTATTTTTTAAGCAAATATAAAACCTTATGTGAATTGCCTTTTACATCTAATTTTACTGGATTCTCACTTCACCTAATAGTTAAGATCAGTGATGTGTATCCGAGGCCTGTTCATAGGCAGTGTTAAACTTTCACAGCTTGACTTTATCTTGGAAGGTTTATAAACAGATCCACACTGAAAGAAACAGATAATAGTCAAGATGAAGGTATGAACTCTTAACAAATCACAGCTGAGTAGCATCTTTTGCTGGAGAAATATTCGTGGTGTCTAGAAGTCAGACATCCATTAGGAACGTGGAGTCATCCACAGGGAACAGAGAACAAAAGTTCTAGTTTTCCAAACCAGATATTTGTTAACCAAACTGATGATTCCTTTTTTCTCCTCCAGAGCAAGTATCAGCAGGGATCCCTTTTATGATATGCTGGCAACAAGGAAACGGAGGATTGCAAACAAGAAATAGAACACAGCAACTTGGACCTGCATCAACCCATACATGAGCATACAGTGCAGTGATACGTAAAATTGGATGAGCTAAATGAAGACAGTACCTGTAAATTTTATATATATACACTTTGCTATGGCATAAAAACTTGGCAAGACCTTTCAGGGTAAAGAGTTACTGGCATATAATTTGAAGGAAGCGTCAAGTCCCAGAGAATGGTTATTTTGGAACTTCATTCAGCTGAAAACATGGAAACCTTGTTCTCACTTCTATTAGTTACAACTCCTGTTTACTTGGGGGTGGGAGGGAGGAGTTCAGGGCCAACAGTCATATGTCCTGTAGCTGTTATTTGAGCACATCTCCCACAGGAGGAGGAGCAGCAGCAGTGGAGTACAGCGTGATCGAGCACTTCATTGTCCTGTGAGCAGAGACCTCACCATCTCACTGTCAGTTTTCAAGTCATGTGTCTTTTGCAATAAGTGAAGTTTCCTGAGTGCAGCTTTCATTCAGGATTTGCTCTCCTGCCTTGATGGAAATAGCTTTCCTTCTTCAGAAACTCAGCTCTGCAGTGGCCTGGCAGCTCATAGGTGACTTGTGGTGCCAAAGGGTTTGGGTCACGTGCACTGAAGGACATGCAGGTCCCAGCAGCAAAGTTTGAGCCTGCACACATGACCTGAAGTACAGATGTGGTCTGAGATCTGCCAGTAGGCTAAAACCCATTCCTGTCTGCTCATACAGTAAGCACTAAGGTTTAATGACTGTTTTAATCTGCTTTTTATATAGTAACATCCTTAAATTTTAAATATGTTGTAGTTGAATTAACACTAAGTTACTGGTAAAGGAGTAAGATGACAGGGTCTGCAGGAGCTTGGGCTTTGCATGTGGAAACACCCCCAGATAGTTTCACATGCATTTCATGTTTTTTAAGGGAAACACCAGGAAGGTGAAGTCTTTGTGCAGGATGCAGCCCGAGATGGTTAAGCAAGCAGGATCCATTCCTTTGCTTGAGAAAAAACTTTGGACAGACAGAGAAGGTTTCGTTGTGTTCTTAAAGGCGATTTTTCAGGTCTGTGCTTCAGCAGCTGAATTGAAAAAATTAACAAACATCCTTATTTTTACTTAAAAAATAAAATCTGACACGTTGGTTACCTAGTGCAGCTGGACCTCCCCCACAAGCTTGTGTGACTCTTGCATTTGTGATTTGTGGAAGATCTTTCTGTGCTCCTACTGATGGCTCCTTCAGGAACATGTCAGGTTGTACTCCAGAGCTTTTCTATTGATAGTGCACATACCATTGTTAAGGTAAAGCCCTAACTCCACAAGGGGGGCAAAAATATTTTTTTTCCCTACTGCTTCTGTTAGTAGTCAGTTTTTCCCAAACTTGTTGAACCTGAGCCATGCCTACTGTGCCAGTGAACACTTTGGAGACCCAGGATGTCAAAGCAGTTTTGCTCGTTGGAGTTACAGGAGCATCTCTGGATCTGGTGT